GCATCCAGTTCTGTCTGACCTTCCCCCCAGAAGACACCACAGTCTTGGCTCAGATTTCCAAGTGCTTCGCTGAAATTGCAGCTTGAATGATGTATCACCACCTCCAAGTGGATCTTTCAAGGACTAAGCTTCTTGTCTTGTTTCTGCCAACCCTACCTTTCCATACAACATCACTGTCCTGCTTGGATGACCAACATTGCCACCATCAAGGTTTCCTGGGAACCTAAGGATGGTGATATATCTGCCAGTCTTGTAGATTTATTTTGTATAACATAAACTTTTCCTTATCAGGATAAGCAGTTTCATTCCTTATCTAGGCATTTGTCATTTAATGACTAAATTAATGTCACTCTGTAATGACAGAGCTGCCAGAATGAGTTGTGAAGCCACTGTAGATGATTCAAGATACAGCAGCACATCTGGTATTCAATTCACCGAAATGTTGCACCTCTTCTTGTCTCCCATCTCTGGCTTCCTTTAGCTACTCGCACAAAGTTAATGCCTTTGGTGCTAACTTTCAGTGCTTTTGATGGAATAGCACCTAATTATATCAGGACCTACATTCCATCTCAGCATCTGTGGTCACCTGCTGGCTTCTCCACCACATGAAATCAAGTCTAGGACTATCTGCTTTCATGCGTGGCTCCTCGATGGTGAAATTTAGCTCCTACAAGAGTCTCTTGGTGTTATTTATTCAAATTGATTTTCAGATGGTCTGATGTAATGATGTTTTTGCATGGCTCCTGTCCCCATGCTGTCTAGCACTTGTTGCTAGTCACTCATTGGAAGCTCAGCTTAGCACTTATACCTTAGTTGGCTCCTTGACAGCTTGTGACGTATTATCTGCCCCACTTACATGTCACTTTGGACAAAAGTATCTGTTAAATAAATAAATGTAAATAAATGTAAATGTAGTACTGCAAAAAGGGAGGGGTCACATCCTCCCACGTATTCTCAGACAGGGTTCAGTCCACAGGTCACTCGACTGAGCAGAACATTGGCAAATTCGTCGCTGCTGGCCACTGGCCACTTTAAAGCTATTTATCCGGAAATTAAGTGTATATATGCTCCAAAAAAAAACACAATTTATTGAATATATTAGAATATAGTAAAAACTGTAATACAATAAAACAGTAAGAAGGATCTTCAAAGGTTCTCCAAAACAGTACTGCCTAGAACACAACTTTGGTTCCCAAACCTCTCCTTTGGGGCACCCCAGCTATTCTTTGTAATTGTTTAATTTTACCACCAGCTCACTTATTTAACTTAATCAGCTAATATTTATTAACCAAGCAAGTTATGTTAAGGGGTTAAGCTCAACAAATACATGGTTACATTGGTTATTAACTACAAATACTGGGTGACCTGTTTTGAAATTGATAAGCTGACACACTTTAAGAATCATAAAAAAGTGCTGTAGAATATTATAAACAACTGTTAACATTTCAAACATCTAATTCATCCAACCACTTATATTTGGATTTGGAGGGGGGCTGGAGTTTATCTCAGGCAGCGCAGGATACAGGCAATATATCCTCAATGGGATGCAGTCCATTGTTAACGTCTATTGTCATTAATTTATCTCCAGCCACAAAATAAGCACCGCTTATTCATCAACATAGTAGCTAATTAGATCACGTCTCTTTTAAAACACTTGCGCTGCTAATGGGCCTCTGTGATATGATCTCTTGGAAGAGGAATGGGCGGCGAAAAAGGCAGGTAGGCTGTGGACGACCAGAGGGACGTCACACGGTGTCAGATGCCTGTGCGAAACGGCAAATGTCCCCGATGTAATGACAGGATGGGCAGAGGGGTCAAAGTTCAGGAGCAACAGATATAAATCCCATTCCCGACTCATCGTCAGCAAACAGGCAAAGGGTCAGATAGCCAGGTAGTGGCAAAAAGATCCAAACCGAGATCCAAATCCGTAGCCCAAACAAAGCCAGTAGTCAATGCAGGAAGTACGGGGTAAACAACCAACTCCAAATCACTAGACAAAGAGCAAGAAAATCAAGAAAGCTAGTAGAAGTTCAGCACAGAAAGCAGACGCTGAACCAAGCACTCAGTGCAGCAGGACACTATTCTTCACAAGGAGTTAATTGAAAAACAAGTTGCTTCTAATCCTTGTCAGATAACCAGGCTGATGAGCTTCAGGTACCCAGGGGCGGCAGAGCGGGAATCGCCTGGGCGCAGCCGCATGGGTGAAGCAGATTGATGTTACTCAACGGACGTCTTACGTCTCATTCACGCCATTGGTGTTTATCATCTGGAAGATTTATAAAAGGAACATAAACAGATTTTACCTTCTAAAATAAAGCACTACAGATGTGCTTTGATTTCGTAAGATGCAGGGCGCCAGCTGTCCCGCGGTCTCGCCGAGCCCCGTTCGCGATCGCAGTATCACGCTAGACTTCCCAAAAGATGCTCGTTGCTTGTGTGTGGCTTGCCCCCGGAGTATCTAACTCATAATTAGACTTGACATTTCTCCATCAAAGGCTATTTTTCTATCTCAATCAGTTCCACTAACATCAAACAAATGTATTATTTTTTTTGGATGGTCACAATTTATCTCCAGCCACTGGGCCAAAGTTGGCCAGCCTCCGTTTGGGCTTTTCGCTGAAAAATGTAACAGCAGTTGCGTATTATATAATGCCATTTTTTTCATTCTCTTTCCTGTCCCTGTGCTTGCATTTCTGAATCATCCGTGCCTCCTGGTCTCCCTCAGTCCCCCCCCCCCATGCTGCAGTACATAATATACCACAAAAGCGACACCAGGCCGTCATTAACCCCCCGCTCCATGGCCCCCATCATACCTCCCCAGTGTCCATCCTACAGTAATCTGAAGGCTGCGTAAGCCAGACGTTCATTACCCCCCCCAGGATTTAGCTTTTTTTTTTGTCCTTCCCTTGTGAGACTGCATGCCCCCCCCCCTGCCCGAGGGGTCCCCCCATCACTCAAGATAAGGGTTGTTATCTCCAGTGTGAGTCACCATCCTTCACAGCTCGCGGAGCCCAGGAAAGTGCCGGAATGAAATGTGTTCAAGGGAAATAAAAAAAGAAAAAAGAAAGAAAGAAAGAAAGAAAGAAAGAAAGAAACCAGAGATGAAAACAATATCAGGAAGGAATAGAAAAGACTATGAAAAATTACATATAGTATAAAAGTTGTTTTTTGTTTTCTTACATTTACTTGTAAGTCGTAACTTTCGGTGCGCAAGAAATCAGCGTGAAAAGTCTATTCTCGATGCCTCTGTGCAGCACTGTGTTGAAAATAAATGAAACAGGCTGACTTTTCCCCAAATAAATCAATACCACTTGGGAAACATACTTCTCTATAAAGACACACACACACAAACACACACACACACACACACACACAATTACACAGACTTTGCACCTAGCAACCAAACGTGTGCTGCTGATAAGACTGAAGTCCTTTGTGGCGGCAGGATCCCCCCAATGGATTTTACTACAAATCAGCTAAAACATCTTAATTCTATTAGTGTTTCTTAATTCTGTAAAAAGTTTTCGCTTCCTTTTATTCCTTTAACACAAGTGTCGCTTCTTCAAAATGCTTCCTGGAGAAAGCACACAGACTAGTCAGAAAGTCCATCCAAGCACGAGAAGCACTCAGCGGACCAGAGAAGCGATGGAATAACCAGCCCTGTAGAGTGGATGTGTGTGTGATGGCTGCGTCTTTTACACATTCAGAGGAGCCGTCAGCCCCCGGAAGCTGCATTTACGCTTTTAACCAGTTTGACAAATCATTACGCTCATTTTGTTAGTGTATCCAGTGTCAGAGTTTCATAATTTTGTAAAGCCAAATGACCGTGAGATGCTGTTGATCCTGCATATTCGTTTTGACTTCAGGGCTGTTTACAAACAAAAACCGTTAGGAATTTGGCTGAAGCCTTGACGTCAGTACAGTGCAGGTTAAGACAAAGAATGAGTGGAAAACAGAGAGGTTACAAATAACTAAGAGTCAAGGACAATACAAGGAGAGCTTGGGCTTTAACAGTGCTGTTCACCAACTTTACCCGCAGAGAACATACCTATCATCCTCAGCCTGAGGACCACTATCTTCTAAAGCAGGGGTGCCCAACTCCAGTCCTGGGGGGCCGGAGCCCTGTGTAGGTTAGTTCTTTCCCTGTTATACCAAAAATGATTCAGCTCAAGAGCTGTGTGGTAATTAGCACAAGGAGTTGAATCAGGTGTGGTAAATGAGGGGAAACCCAAACATGTGCAGGGCTCTGGCCCCCCAGGACTGGAGTTGGGCACCCCTGTCCTAAAGTGATGACTTCATAGCAAGTCACATCTCTGAGTTGTGGCTGGGTGGACGACGGCACGAGTCCAGCAAAGAGGGCCAATAGCTCGCATTACACATATCGAAATCCGAGTCTGGAGACAAAGGGGAAACATCTTCATGACATGCCAGACCGTTTGCTCTGCAGATGAGATCTTTCCGTTGCAAGCCAGACACGCGACTTGCTCAAATGAGCTTCACGTGGATGCCCTGTAATTATCTGCACCGACATGTCCTTTGCCATCCTGCTCCGCTGCCCCACGGAGATTCCCTCAGGCGGCACGGGCAGAAGAACAGACCCTCCATCTGCTCTTGATGATAGACCTCTGAGAAAGCTTTCCTGCTCATCGCAATCGGAGAGCAAACAAGACTCTGAGGGAGGCTGCAGTATACACAAAGACAGGGGCTTTGTAATTAGCCATGCAATTTACAAAATGGCCAATTGCAGGGCGGTGAAGGCAAGACGATTATTTTCTTGTTTTCTAACGTCCCATTTGTCTATTTCAGGTTATTATCAAAGACGCCACACTTATAAAATCCAGTTATTATTATAATGACTGAGGATTGAACAGGCATTTTGGATTTTAATTTGCAGCCTGCTTCCCAAATGCTCAGTCACAGCAAAACGATGATGGACAATCAGGAACACAGAGCATCTGTGTTGCACCAGGCAGGATTATTCACTGAGAAGAAGCATTTACCTCTGGTGGAGAGCTTCTTGGTGTTGATGATCTTGGCCGCATACTCCTGCCCTGACATCACTTTCACACACCTTCGCACGACTGAGAAAGCTCCCCTGTGAAGATAAAACAAAGGAACATGTTGCACATTGGGAATGTGAACCTGACAGTAAAAGGAAAAGAGAGGAAGGCGAGCTTTGCAAAGCTGTCTCCATACCACGACTTCGGGTAACTTCTAATGAGCCTCTGTTGATATCAGGCTTTTCTTTCAATATTGACCATCATTTCACCATACCTGAGAGTTAGATGTAACTCTCAGGAGTATTTAAAGAATGAGAAAGACAGGTGATCATTTGAGTTCAAGAGAAGAAGCAGGGAGATTCTCCAAGATTCTGCAGGCACTTCTTCTTGAGGTCCAGTAGACCCTTCTGTGAGATTTTCAACCATCATTTTTTTCTGAGGCTCTTGCTTTGATCTTGAATCATAGTTTTATAAAACAGATCTCACTACAATTGGCTCTTTCCTTTTGGACAGCGACGTTTCTGCTGACATGAGGAATTTGAACGTGGGGCAGGGTTATGTCTGAGGAAAGCCTGACAAGACGGCATGTCTGTTAGAGGTTGCATGAGAGGTAATTGTTAAGGAAAATGCAAGTTCAGGACCCTGGGACAATACTTTTATCCGCTTTGACAAAGTACGTGACACTGGATACTTTGACGTAAAAGTGTTCCTGGGTAAGATGGGTAATAAAATTTATATGCATTATACACAAAGAGATCATAGGGAATTAACATGCAGGCTACCAACTCCCATGAGATAAAGTGGTGGCTCTGAGGATAGGGCTCTGTGCCAGTAACTGGAAGGTTGCTGGTTCAAATCCCATGAATGCCCAGAGTGATTCTACTCTGTTGGGCCCTCGAGCGAGGCCCTTAACCTGCAATCACTTCATCTTGGGTATGATGTTAATCTACATCCAGCCCTATAAGGAGGTCCTCTGACTCACAGGGATTAACTTGGGGGTTGGTGGCAGGATTGGCACTCCAGCCACCGGGAAAAACCTCACGCTGGTTCGTTTGGAATAGTGTGGTGCTGAGGTATCACCTGGCCCATGGCTGCCCTCAGGTTCTCATCTCTGAGGTGGTTTGTCATGTGCTGGGTGTGAGTGTAATCAGCGCGTGCTCCCCTCAGGTTCTCATCTCTGAGGTGGTTTGTCATGTGCTGGGT